GGTCTTTATCGAGAAGATATGATCCTTATTGACTTTTTGTGTCAAGGGAACCTGATGAACAAGACTCCACCCGAGATGACCGCTTTGTTCGAGGATATGGCGGAAAAGGGGTATGATTGGGGTTTAACGAGACGTGGTAGAAGGGAAGCCGAGAAGGGAGTACACGCCATAGAGGCAAACCCTCCGCTTGTCGCAAAGATTGATGAGTTGATATCAGCGCTTCTACAAGATAAGAAGCAAGGCAGAGGTCGGTGATGGAGTGTGATTGGTGTTTGAGTCCCAACCACGAGATTACAGAGTGCCAATTGATGATGGAAGCAAGCACTTTGGAGGAACGATTGAGTTTTATCTATTTCGCACAACCTAATAGGGTTTCCTCATTGGAGGAGTTGGTAACCACCTTTGCCAGTTCTAGGTTCCGGAAATTTGAGAAGATAGAGAAGTTTATGGTAAAGGATGCGAAGAAGTTCTCATCCATCGAAGAAGGGTTGCAAAGTCATCAATCAATCTTGAAAACCTTGACCACCAGGATAGGGATCATCACGCAAGCTGCTCTTTCCGGGAGTCAAGTAGACGAAGCTGAGCAACGAGCTATATCACTTAGTAGTGAGAGAGAAACGAGAGAAGTGCCCATCCCAAAGAGGCCAACTGTGACAGCGGAGCGAGATGAGCCCACTACCACTCCCAAAAGGCACAAATGTGTCGGTGGAAGCATAGAATGACTCAACTTCTCGACCAGTACAACCAGTGGGGAAAGCAAACTCACCACTCCCCTACCTAGCAAAACTGCACAAGGATCGCATGCAGTGGAGTTTTCTCACTTCATGGAGTTGATGAATCAACTGCACCTCAACATTCCATTCGTTGAGGCTATCACCCAGATTTCGAATTATGCAAAATACTTGAAAGATCTTCTCACTAACAAGAAGAAACTGGGAGGTTTGGCACCATGACCTTAAACGAGGAATGCTCGACCATCTTGCAAAATCAGCTTCTCACGAAGCGAAAAGATCCATGGAGTTTCACTATCCCTTATTTTATTGGTGGTATGTGCATAGGTAAGTCCTTGGTGGACCTAGGACCTAGCATAAATGTGATGCCACATTGGTTGTTCAAAAAGTTAGACCTAGGTGAACCTAGTGCCACTAGGATGAATATTCAATTAGCAGACAAATCTGTTGTGCATCCTAGGGAGATCATTGAGGATCTACTTGTTAATTGATGTACACAGGTAAGATTGGTGTTGAGGGCAGGAGATGAAAAAGTAACATTCTCAATCGATGATAACATGAAGTATTCTAGCTTGCATGATGATGTGGACTATTGCGATGAGATGTCCAATTTTGTAACAGTGCTTGCACACGCGGGTGCCAGCTCTACTGATTTGCTTGAAGGGTGTTTTGTGATAGGGGCAGATGGCTTGGAGGAATGACAGGAGGAAGAGAACTTACCAAGAGAAGAGGTAGTCGCCGCTCCGGCAGTGGACTCGGAGATAGACCCCTTGCCTCCCACACCTAAGATCCCCACTTCCTTGGAGGAACCACCTGAATTAGAGTTGAAGCCATTACCTAGCCATATCGAGTATGCCTTCTTGAGGGAGGATGACAAGCTCCCTGTCATCATTAGCGCCAATCTCACTCCGGTAGAGAAGGCCGAACTGGTTGATGTCTTGAGGCGCCAACCTCAACGACGGGTGAACCCTAACCTTGAAGAAGTGGTGAAGGCTGAGGTAATCAAGCTTCTGTATGTTGGGATCGTTTACCCCATCTCTGACAATTCAATAATAATACGAGCATCAGGATTGTACGACGTGACACGTTGATTAGGGCACAATTGTACATGTTTTCACCCCACATTCTTGAGATTTTTGAGGCATTTACGTCGCTCGTGGTTCAATTTTATGCTAGGTTTTGCATGTTTCTAGCATGTTTAAGTTCTAGAAGGTGATATTGACCTTGGGAGCGAAAATTGAATGAAAGGGGGCGAAAGCGGATCAAAGGGAGCAAAAAAGCCAAGGACCACAGTGGAGAGAAACCCCCTTGTGTTGCTAGAGGCTTTGAAAAGCTGGGTTTCTTGGACATTTGAACCTCCGATCTAGGGCAAGCTTCAAGTTTTGAATTAACACTTTGATTTGGTTGTTATCTTGCCGTCCGGATTAAGTTCCGAGGGAGTTTGCTAGCTTCAATTGTTGTGCCTTGGCCTATCACACAAGAGAGTGAAGTTTCTTCACTAGTTGCGCTCTCCTCATGGTCTATGAGCACATTCCTACACATTGGCCTTCTATTCGGTCGATCTTGATATATAGCTAGGGGGAGCAATACCCGGGTGAAGCTTTCTCATCTAGATTCTAAACCAATTTACTTTCTTGCTTGTTTCAATTGTTGACTTTAGTTTTCACTATAAATCGATTGTTAGATAACGTTTTAAATTATTGAATTAGGGTTTCATGGACCGGCCCAGGTTGACAATTAAAACGCTTACCCTATACTGCACCCTACTAAAGTTTATACTTGGGCTCTACATGAGATTTTATTGTGGTAGTTGGAGAGAGTCACACGTATAACTTGAGAGATCGTTCCCTCGGGTGCACGATAAGCGGATTCTCTTTAGACAGACAAACATGACCGAGATCGTAATACATGGTTAGGAGATGAGTTAAGTATGTATGGAGTAGATGAGATTGATAGTCTGGGTTCAGTGAATCTTGGATTTGACGAAGATTGATTAATGAATTGAGAAAGCAATTTTTAGTAAATTGTGAAAGTTTTGATATATGATGAGTTGAGTTTTCAACATATCATAATTATGTGATGTGAGTTCAGTCGAGATTTTCAAAACGTAACCAATGAGTGATTTTCGCTGCGCTGTTGAACCAATAGTTCGACCTATGATTTTAGAGTGGGGGTGTTACACGCCTCTTTTCCGGTTTTCCTATTCACCTAACTCTACTTTTTTATTTTAAGTTGAACATTTGAATATCGATGTTATGTAAGTGTGTGAATTTTGACTATATGTTTTTATCAAAGTACAATCTGTTATTTTGGTGTCATATTGTATATTATTACTCATATAATAGATAAGATTTGATATAATTTATAAATGTATAAACAATATGACGATTTTTTTTTAATATATCCGAACTAAACCAAACTGAAACAGCCAGACCATAATCATAAACACACCTGACCTGACCGATCGGGCCAACCAACTAAAACATATTATCAACTTTGCTACCAAGTCCCAACTCTTCGATAGAAAATAGGGATGCCAATTTCGACCTGACCCGATTTACCCAACCTGTTTGGATTGTTTTGGGGCGGGTCAGACCCGCCCGTAGGCGGGGCGGGCATGGGTATCTCTCATCGACCCGACCTGCCCTGACCCGCCCCATTGTCAACCCGTTCTTGCCTAAATTACATATAATCTTAGTTAAATTATTTAGGATTTCCCTCTTATTACATTATATTTTAGCTATAATAAAGTTATAAATAAGTGACAATCTCCATTTCTTCAATAATTTAACTACATTTTATCATATTATGGTTTCTTTCTTGGTGTTTTAATGAAAATAACGAATATTTCTAATGTTTTTCGCATAAATTACATACCCATTAAGTTGACATGTCCGACCCGTGTCCCGTGATAAATTACCCGACCTGCTATGAGACGAATATGAGTATCGAGATACCCACCTGACCTGCCATTGCCATTGCCATTGCCATTGCCATTGCCTCCTAATGGAAAACACAATGTCTCGGGTGAAAGAGACTCCAATCCCCACACGAAACAGTTTAAATCCCCCCTAAACCTTCCGCCTAATTACAAGCTTGCTTATGGTTTTTTGCTATTTTACAACATGAAACCATAGGTTACCACACATTACCATATGGTAACAAACTAAATGACAGCAGGACTTATGGTTTTTTGCTATTTTACAACATGCAATCATAACTTACCACACATTACCATATGGTAACGAACAAAACACAGCAGGACTTATGGTTTTTCGCTATTTTAGAACATGCAATCTTAATTTACCACTCATTACCATATGGTAATGAAGCAAAACACAACAGATTCTACATCAGTTCAGCAACGCATGGAGAGTGACTGCGATACTGTTCTATTGTTCTGTGGATGGATTTCGAAGAAAGAAGTGAGGTTTTACCTTGATATTTTGTGCGAAAACGATTTTTGAGCCTCGTTGAAGTTGGAAACTCTTCGTTTTTCGACGAAGAAGCGAGAACAGTGTATCGTTGAATGATTCTTCGAAATCCTTTGCGAAAATCGTTCGATTTGAAGTTTTTTCTGGAAGTTTTTGCTGCGATTTTGGTGAGAGAATTGAGAATCGAGAGGAAGAATGGAGAGTTAGAGAGCAGAGAGGGAAGTGGAACTGTCGCTTGAAAGGTGAGAGGAAGAAGGAGAGAAGGCGGGACGGTTGTCGCTGTCACGTCTGCAATTCAAATTGTCAGAGACGAGATTACGTTTTTGCCCCCGCGTGTATTTTAAGTGGCCTGATCTGACGGCTGGGAAGATGGCGCGATGGACGGCCGGATCATCGGTTACTGACCGTTACTGATAGGTCGGTTACTGATAGGATCCGGACCCCAGTCCCCCTAGGAGAGAAGGATGGATACTTTCCAGTAGACTACTCTCTTATTAACTGCTTTACAATTGTGCACGATCCAATATTATATCAAAGTTTAATTTATACGTAATTTATTTTATCAACGATTGGATTTTGTACGAGATCTCGGAATTCTCGGGGGGGCCCGAGACACCACCTAGCTCCGCCCCTGCCGCCCGGACCTGCACATTGCCCTAATGGAAAACACAATGTGTCGGGTGAAAGAGACTCCAATCCCCACACGAAACAGTTTAAATCCCCACTAAACCTTCCGCCAAATTACAAGCTTGCTTAGATTAATTATTACTTTTATTTTTTATCGATCAATATTTATTTATTTTCGAGAGGTCTCATCTCATCCCGGCTTTCTGTCTACCGCTCTCCCTCCCTCCACCGAAAGCCCGACTCATCGCTCAACAACTAAACTCGCGTCGACAAAAAAACGATTTTTCTGCCCCCCAAAAAAAAAAATTGCCCCCAAATTTTTTTGCCCCCCCGCCTCCTCACTACTCACTGGCTCTTATGGCCTTTCACGTAGCTTGCCCAATTACATGGTCAGTCTCTTTGTTGTATTACTCCTGTTGACACTCTCCGGATTCCTTCCTTTCCTTCCTCTTTTGCTTCTCTATCCTCTAATCTCATCCGTCGCCCCCTCCGCTGGGCCTCTCTTTGTTTGCAGCCTTCGAATCTGCTCCTGCGAGCTAGGGTTTCCGCGGGATCTGCACGGGGAGGCATCGAAGTCCGATTTCCTGCTCGATGTATCCAGAATCGAGGAGCTATGGAGGGATCCCTCGCGAATTAGGGCTTCCAACGGGGCTACCGTTCAGGTTTTGGTTCCTAAGATTGTGCCTGCTCCTCCACCTCCTATCCCTGTTCCTGCTGCTCCCACACCGGTTTCGGTTCCCACTCTAGCTCCCCAGCTGGCGGGAGGCGATGGTGGGGATGTTGATCTTGGCGGGGAGGATTCCGCGGCTTTGTCCGCTTCCGTGCACACAAAGCGTGTGGCGCTTCAAAAGAAGGCTGCTGCTACTGTGGTTGCTGCTGAGGATTTCGCCCGAAGGTTCGAGTCTGGTGAAGCTGCGGTGAGTTATTATTTTGGAATTGGATTGTTGCTGGCTCCATCTGTGCCGCTTATACTTTTGCTACATGTCTAGAGTCTAGAGAGTCAACATTTCTAACCTTTAAGTGGTTTCCGTGAATTTGCAATTGTTATTGCTGAACGCAATGATTTTGAATTAGTGGCGAGATGTTTTGTGTTTGTTGAGTGGTGATGCTGCTTTGTTTATAGGCCCCTCAATGCCAGAAGGCATCTTGTTGTGAGATCTGTCATCATTAGAGTGCTTATTCTACATCTGGAGATGGGGGACATTGTGTGGCTGTTATATCATCTGTCTTTCTATCTTAGCAAAGGCCTCTGTCTTTGACAACCTTTTGTTTAGTTTGCTATGTTTTGATTGTCCTTAAATTTGACTCCCAGGTGGTCTCAAGAGACACTAATGGAGATGAGCAAGCACTTTCCAACACAAACACAAAGGTGATGTGTCGAATGTGCTTCTCTGGTGAAACAGATGGTAGCGACAGAGCAAAAAAGATGCTTTCTTGCAGAAGTTGTGGCAAGAAGTATCATAGGGGCTGTTTGAAAGCTTGGGCTCAACACAGAGGTACGACTCAAATTCTATTTTTCATGTTTGAACTCCTGCATTTTCTGATTTGATGCTATTTGCAGATTTATTTCACTGGAGTTCGTGGGCTTGTCCATCTTGCCGGACATGTGAGGTACTGCTTCCTTTCACTAGTTGGTTCCCGGTGTCAATCATATTTACTTCTGCATAGCACAGCCAAAGTGTCAATTATGTAGTAAAGTGATTCTGTATTCCTTTCTATTACCCCTGCATCTGTCCAAAAACATAGTTCAAACATCAGATTTTCGGAACCATAATTATTGGAACTCCCAGGTGTTCTAAGGTGCAAGGTGCTCGCATAGTGAACCTTGCAGCAGAAAGAGCTGATAGCTAATGCCAAATAACTTACACTATTTTTAGGGTTTTCCTGGACGGTTTGTGCAAAGGAAATACTTTAGACGGTAGAGAGATTAAATTTGGTAGATGTTCGAAGGTTCTTGGGGAAATGATTCATAAGAAACTGACTGTAATTTATCTATGATTCATAAGAAAGTTCTTGGAGAGATGAAAAATCGTCTTTATGGATTGGACATTTAAAAGGAACAAGTTGGTAGAGAGTGAGATTGGATTTGGTAGATGTTCAAAGGTTCAAAGGCGTGTGACTTTCTGATCTCCCTCAAATCACCATGATGATTTTGTTTTGGATTGGGTGTGCTTTGATAACTACTGTCGAGGTAAGCTATGTCATGCCTCCAAAAGAAGTTTGGTGATGTTTTTGTGCTTTATCTATTTCACTCAGATATGTCGAAGAACTGGAGATCCCAATAAGTTTATGTTCTGCAAAAGGTGTGATGGTGCTTACCATTGTTACTGCCAGCATCCGCCCCACAAGGTAATATTTTGTTTCTTATGTCTTGCAGATTGCAACAGCAGTATGAAATTAGTGATGCTATGTTTCTTTAACGGTGCAGAATGTCAGCTCAGGACCATATTTGTGCTCCAAACATACAAGGTGCCACAGTTGTGCATCCACTGTCCCTGGAAATGGTTTAAGTGTGAGGTAATGTAAGGGTTAAGTCTGCTTTCTTTGTGCACAGTTATGTCAAGTTCTATGCCGACATGACGCAGTTTCGCAATGATAAGTTTGACACATTATGGTAGATGTTTTCGGTAAGATGATGTTCCAGAGTACTGGTTTGCAGATGCATAAGTTCAGCTAAGATTTTACTTAATCTATTCCTGAAAAACAAAGTTGAGAGCCCTATCCAGAGAATATTGGAGTATTTCTTGGCAGCTATATGCTATATATGTTTGTGTTCCTATTTTCCAGCCGATCCTTGCAGTCTCCTTTAATCTCCCTTGAAATCCTTGCAGGTGGTTTCTGGGGTTCACATGCTGTGATGCTTGTGGACGATTGTTTGTCAAGGGGAATTATTGCCCAGTTTGTTTAAAGGTATATATCCCTATCAACTTTAGATTGATAGCTGGTTGATATTGCTGATTTGAAACTCTAGCAGCAGCTCTCTCTTGGGATAAAAATTCATTTGTGTTAAGTTTAGGTCCATTTACATGCTCGTTTACTGAAATTGCTCTTACTCTGCTACGTAATTCCAGAATCTGTGACTTATATTTGTGTGTTCTAGTTTTTGAGTTGAATTCTTTATGTGCTTTATCCTGTAGGTTTATAGAGATTCAGAATCAACACCAATGGTCTGTTGTGATATCTGCCAACGTTGGGTGCACTGTCATTGTGATGGCATAAGGTTTGTTTGTCATGGGTAGTTTAATTTCTAACAGTTCTTTGCAATTCTCTTTTCCTTTTCTTGGTCATTATAAACTGATTGATAAAAATTGCTTTTTGAGGCCATACTCATAGCTTCTTTTATTCGCTTGATATGGATATATAGCTTATGTATACGATATATGCATTTTGCAGTGATGAGAAGTATCTGCAGTATCAAGTTGATGGTAATCTCCAATATGTATGTGCAACGTGTCGCGGAGAGTGCTATCAGGTTTGTTTTCTACAACTAAACTTTTTAAAGCTTTAGTATTCCTGTAGTCTTGTCATTCCTGTATTTCCGTTTAACTCAAATCTATTATCAGGTTAAGGATCTCGAAGATGCTGTTCAAGAGCTGTGGAGAAGACGTGATGTAGCTGATCATGATTTGATTGTCAGCTTGAGGGCTGCTGCAGGATTGCCAACTCAAGAAGATACTTTCTCTATATCACCTTACTCCGAGGACGAAGATAATGGACCCATAACGTCAAAGAATGAGTTTGGGCGTTCTTTGAAGTTTTCCCTCAAAGGTGTTATGGATAACTCACCAAAGAAGAGCAAAGACTATGGAAAGAAGTATTTCAATAGAAAGTCGAGCAAAAATAAGAGCTCTGAGGTACACTTATTGAGTAAGATAGAAGCAGATGTGGACCGATATGAGACACAATCTTATGGACAGAGTTCTGATGAGAGAAAGCACTATGGGTCTCATTCTTATAAGAATGCTGGATTGGTTGCACATACTTCTCCTGTTGTTGGTGGTTTATGTCACGCTAATGCAACCAACTCTGTTGGTCAGCCAGGAGATCTAAAACAGAAGCCTATTGATGAGGTGATGGTTAATGATGGTGACAAGGGGGCAAGGATTGTTAAGATTAAGAGCAACAAGCCTCCTGATAGGGATAGTGGAGATGATAGTGATAAGCATGACAGCAAAATGAAATCTGTGAAAACCAAGAAGCTAGTGATAAACCTAGGTGCACGAAAGATAAATGTTACTAATTCCCCAAAGTCTGACGCTTCAAGTTGCCAAAAAGAGCAGGATTTGCCAAATTCAAAAGGTATGTGCATGTTTTGATGGAAATTTTTTATTGGCAATCATAATCCTGTGTGAAACTGTTGCGCTGACTAGTTTCCTTGATATTAATTAGGATGTGAAGATGCAGGCAATTCTAAAATAGGCGACAGTCTGATGGACAAAGAGAATGGAGATGCTAAACCTGGTAATGGTAAGATAATGGATTATGATCCATTTAAGATTAATTCAGTGCTTTCAATGTGCTCCAACAAGTCAATGCCTACAGTTATGAGGAAACTATAGCTACGTATACTAATATCTGTTTCATATTTACGATATGCAGGAGGCAGAGTTGACCAATCTGGCCAAGTAAGAATTCTGAAGTTTGCTCGAAGAGGGAGTAGTTTGATTAAACTTGGAAAAGTGAAAGGAGCACCTGAAGGGAATCCAAAACTCGAGCGAGATAATGGCTCACATACAAGTGCTTCATCACTTGGATGTGCAAGTGAAGTTCCAACATTAAAAAATGACAAGGCGCCACAGGGGAAACAATCTGAAAGGCCAGTTACAAATACTGAAACCAATGATGATTCTGGAGGTACAACTGCATCACTTTCTTTGCCCAAAGATTCAAAGTTCTCTCTGAAGTTAAAGATTAAGAAACCTAGCCTCGATAATCAAAGCTCTCAAAACCCCCTACCCGAAGAAAAGGCTACCATAAGAGGGCAGAGGTCCAAAAGGAAAAGATCATCAGCCTTTGCAGAGAAGGCACCACTAAATGAAGATAAAACTGTTGTGCAAGACAGTGAGATGTTGGAAGCTAGTTGGATATTGAAAAAGTTGGGTAATGATGCAATTGGGAAGCGAATTGAAGTCCATCAGCCATCCGAAAGCTCATGGTGAGTTAGTCATCTGTCTCCCACATCTCTTGGGCACCAGGAGGTGTTGAATTGACAGTAGACGTGCTACATAATGCTTATACTGGTCATACTGTTGTCATTTCCTGTCTTCAATTGAGCTTCTGCAACCATTGATACTCATCTTGTTGTGTGTTTCAAGTTTGGGGTCTAGATGAGTGATGTAATTGGTGGTACCTTAGTTATGTGGCTGCCTCTGTGCACCACTTGATAACTTTAGCAAGCATGTTAGTTTTTTCAACCAAGTTGCTTTGACTCCATTTGAGATTGCCTCATTTGTGTTTACATCGCTGTGAACCAGGAACAAGGGAGCAGTTTCCGACGTAATTGAAGGAACATCAAAGCTGTCTGTAACCTTGGATGATGGTAGAGTCCTCAGTGTTGAGCTTGGAAAGCAGGCTGTTCGATTTGTTCCACAAAAGCAAAAGAGGTGAATATGGAGCACCAAAGTCCTTTCAAAACGAGTTCTTGGTGGTCCAAGATGGAAATGGAGCGACTCTTCCTTATTATTTCCGAAGATGCCATCTCCGTTAGCCGGATCATAGAGATCGACTTTTCTTCTGGGTACCTGCCGAATCTTTTTCACGCTGTGGATAGGCTGTTCAGTCGCCAGGCTCTTCATTAATTGTTACCTTGTCCATATGCAGCTAGTGATGATCTCGATGACTTAACTTTGTAGCAAATAGTTCCTGTATTGGAATCAAAACGATAATACTCCATTTAGGAATCCAATGTCTGTAGTAGTAACACCCTCTGTCGTGTAATTTGTGTTTAGTAGTCAGGCACTGCTTGGAAGTTGAGTTATTTATTGAATTGAGCTCGAGGGCTCACATCTCATACACCACTCTTTCCTAAGCATATCTATTGCCGTTAGTACAATGTTTGCTAGCATAAGACTGCATTTCATTTTCATTTCCAAATTTTGAGAAACAGAAGTCAGGATCTGAAGGCCGCAAAATCATACAGGTGGGTGGCAAGTCTTAACAACAGCCAGAATCCAAGTCATCTGCACCCAGGATTCAGCTTCCGCTGTTGTAACGGGGATTTTATTAGGGGTGGGCATTGGTTTGACCAAACCGCTCCAAACCGCTCCAAACCGCTTGTGCGGTCAATCCAAACCGCACCATTAAGCTAGCGGTTTCATTTGCGGTTTAATCGATAAGCGGTTAGCGGTTCGCGGTTTGGGTTGACCGAAACCGCACGATAGCGGTTCAAAACCGCAAACTGCTAATTCCTAATCTATCACCACGACTCGAGCAGATTTGCGGAGATCCAGATCCATCACCCATACGCATCTTCTCACCAGTCACCACACGGCGAGCTATCCTCACGGCGGCGGCAGCGGCAGATCCGACTTCTCTCGCTACCCGTTCTTCCGCCTTCGACCTTCTCCAGCATCTCGGTCTACCCTATTCTCGGAGTTATTGTGTTTACACAGTATCGGCGACGACGCTTTCTAGATCGGAGGCATCTCAATCTATCCTATTGTCGGAGCTACGGTGCTTTGGCGGATCGAAGGCCTCCCCGACTTCCCGCAGCCGGACGTCCAGTTTCTCAGCGGCTGGTACTCTCTCCCTCCCTCAACCTTAGCTCTCTTCGTTGTGTTACCGTCGCACCTCCGCCAAGAGGCGACCACCCACCGAGCCCTTTGCCCCTTCGTGGGTTTTATACTACGCATAGATACTAGATATTAGGTATGCTTGGTGGGTTTATTAGAGTCATTGGGTATGGATCTAGGGTTGTTGATCTAGGGTAGTCTAGAATCTCTTTACTCTTTTCTCCTGATTCGTCTTGAATGGTGTCTAGGGTAGTCTAGAAATCACACAGTAAACAAATTCCAAACGCCTTTCCAATTCAAAGTTCAGCAGTCTCTGGAATTACCACTCGCTCGTTGTCAACTATAAGGTCTGATGAACTACCATAGACACAAGATTTATCCTCACTGATGATTTTGCCCAACTGGTTATAATAAGTTTGAATGGGCGTGTTGGATTGATTCATTTGCTGCTCATTCCCCTGAAAAAATCGAAATTTCTCTCCATTCTAAATCATGGTATGAAAACAATGACATAAGGTGCTAGTGTAGGCTTAGAGCATGTGAGGAGGTGGCTACCCAGTTACTTACAGGTTTCCAATTAACCATTTCACTTAACAGTTCTGTCAAAGTTTCACTATTCTGAACTTTCTAGGCCGCTATATAACCTTATACAGCTGTAGTACAAATACTTGGGAAGTCGTTTTTGCTTCACAAACTCACAAATACTGGAAACATCAGTAGCAGAAAATGTTTATTTCATTTGTGAATTGCTTTATTATTTCATTTGGTTTATAGTTTTACCAATCACAATGTTCTAACTATTTTCTTTCATATGCTTGTAGGGCTGTAATGAATCTGTGAATTTGATATCAAGTAGTAGGGAAAAAGAAGATACTTTTATCGGCAAAAATGAAATCAAAAGGCTCTAAGGGAAAACGAGCTCAAGCACCGATATCTATCAACAATGTGCTTAGTTCCGATGTGAGTTCCTTTACTATGGTTAGCTACTGATCTGTACTTTTGTGTATGGTTCCAACCAAGCAGTAGGTTTTTGTTTCTTTCTTGTTATTTTCTATGGATGATACTTGCCAATATGCACTAGTGTTGAATCTCTTTCTGATGCTATAACTTTGGGGTGGATCTCCTTGATAGCTTTTGTATCTTTGAAATTGAGAATTCTGTTACTTCAGAGACTGGTTTTCCAATGTTTGTTTGCATGTTGGGAATTCTGTTTCTGATCTGATGCTATAACTGGATGCTCTAGTTTGGTTGCTGAACCATCTAAGATAGCTTAGAAAGTAACTGCAGTCCGAACTATTGAAGGCTGAAGCTACTGATCAACTAACACTAATTCTCCTTTTCTGCTTTTATGTCTTGTTTCCATTTACTCTGTTGAACCATGTAAGATATGCTTAGAAAGTAACTGCAGTTCAAACTATTGAAGGCTGAAGCTACTGATCAACTAACACTAATTCTCATTTTCTGCTTTTATGTCCTGTTTTCATTTACTCTGTTGAATCATGTAAGATATGTTCTAGTTTGGTTGCTTTTATGTCCTGTTTTCATTTACTCTGTTGTTGTTTAGGTCGAGTGTGATGATGCTGGAATGGATTCCTCAAGTGGGGAAGAGATGGAAATCGAAAATGATGCAAGTACGAGCAAGGTGGCTGCTAGTGATCATATTGGTTCAGCTTCGACTGATATTGAGTCACCAATGCCAAAAGGGAGGCGGCTTAGATCAAAAGTTTGGGTCCAATTCAGGAGGTATAAGAAAGACGGCTTATTCAAGGCATCATGCATCAAATGCGGGAAGACTTATGCATCTAAATCACCCAGAAATGGAACTAGTGCACTCCGCAATCATATGAGTAAACCGTGCGGTGATGGAAAAGGTAAGGCTCAACAACTATTGAATACTATTAGAGGTGAATTAGATGAGGGGGATGGATCTGTGTTAGGGAGTTGGAAGTTTGATCAAGCAGCTATAAGGAAAGAATTGGCTTATATGATCATTGTGGATGGCTTGTTAGTTGGGAAGTTCCAACACTTGCTAGTGTAGTTTTCGAGAATGATAACTCTGGTAGTTTGTTTAAGGCCTTCAATCATGTTGTTGTTCCTTCGCCGCATGTTTGATGCTCAAGTATTGGTTTCTGTTGACTGATGTTAAGGATTGTTCATGATTCTAACAAAAGATTGACATTGATGTGGTTATTATAAGCTCAAAGTTCTGCACTTTTCATGACAGCTAGCTAAATACACTTTTCATTGGGTCTCTGGATTTTGGAATCAACCCAAAGCATGCTGGATTTTGATTGCCATTGAAATTTGAAACTGAGATAAAATTGATGGGGTGGTCTGCTGCTCATTATGCACTGTGGCAACTGGACCACGTCCAGCAAAAATTGGTCCTCTTTTTTTTCCCCCACTGTACAATACAGCAAACTGTACAATGAAGTTCTTGTAGATTCGGCAGGCTGTCCACATTAACTCGTTCAACTTCTTTCTTGATTGCATTGCATGATATGTTTTGGTGGCAGGAAACTGAGTAATTTTTATTTAATTATGTACAAACCATAATGAATTGCGGTCAAGATGCGGTGCGGTTTAAACCGTATCAAACCGTTAATTTATGCGGTTTGGTTTGACCGCACCGATAACTTAGCGGTCGAAATGCGGTGCGGTTTATATCAATGCGGTGCGGTGCGGTTTATATCATTGCGGTGCGATGCGGTCCGAACCGCACCGATACCCACCCCTACATTCATTAGGTAGTGAAACTATCGCGTTCATCGGCATTCAGCATTCTCAACCACCATGCTAACTCGTGTAGGCAATCTTGGCCTTATTCTAAGTTCTAACCTCTAGGCCTCAGTCTAGGCCTTGAGGACAAATTTCAATGTCTTAACTAAGCACTGGCGGATCCAAGGGGTGGCCACCCCAGGCCCCGGCCCAGCACTCCTCTGGATCCGTAGTTACTATAGTTCTTATGAAATTTTTGATTTTAGACATTCGACCTAGTGTTATTCTATGATAAGATTGGGTTTAACTAGAAAAATTATCAAGTTGAACATATTCAAATCACTATTCTAAATTTAGCCTAGAAATTTGAGCCCCAAAAATTATGCGTCTTAAAAAGACAATGAAATCTAAAATTCTAAAAAGTTTAAAACGTAAAAGACTAAAAGAAATATGAGGTTTGTTCCCTTACAAATTTACTAAAGCAGCTGGTGTGCAGGGATGGACACACAATGCAAATTGATTAGTCGATTGATTTATCTAGTGTTGATGCTGCTCGTTTCAACAGCTACTACGAAGAGAATCTTTTTAACAATGAAACATGTGAGAACTGATTTGCTCAACAAAATGAGCGATGGATTTCTCGCCCGATTGCTCAAGTATTTTATTTGAAACAGTGTATACTATTGGTATGGATGTAGACTTCATTATTGATGCATTCCCTAAATTAAAATACAGTCGTGTACAATTTACATTGCAAAAAACTATAATCATTATATTTTTTTACGGTTCTAATTTTCTAGTGAAATGCGGCCCAGTGCTCTTCTGTGTTTTGGATCCGCCGCTGTAACTAAGGATTCTCACTTCTCAGCATAGTTTAGACTCTCCATAAGGTTTTATATCAATTTATTCGATCTTTAGTTGATGATTTTGAGCATTTTATTCATAGCCACAACCAAGTTTTTCAACTTTTAGCTTAGACTGATTTATGATGTCTTAACTTATGTTATTGACTAAGAATGCATATATGAAAGACTTTATTGACAAATAATCAATCAACATTCACCGATAATGCATTTGGCCGAGGCACTTTAAATGTTTTTATGGGCCGTTGAATGGATTTGTGTTTGCACTGATGTACGTGTAGTAATAATGCATCAAAGTAATAAAATTCTGGATATGTCTAGGGTCACATATTGCAAAAGGTCTTCTAATTATAACTATTCATAACCAATCATTTTTCTCAAACAAAGACACAACAATAACATAAATCGATGGTTGAGGTTTGCTATGTTTAGTTGGTTTTCGAGATATAGATAAACGAAATCCCCATAACACCACTGGAATCGATGGAAATAACAGAGGAAATAGGGTCTAGGCCGCCGCTTCTGGGGTCGATTCCTCCCTTCTGGTTGGTTCCACTCTAGCTAGGTTAGGTGAGTCGCTATGTCGGCAGCGTACAGTGGTGTTATGATGATAAATATCAAAAGCAATCCTAGGGTTGTTGGAACACATTTGAAGCATTCATAACATGAATTCAAGGTATTATGATGATAAATATATGAAATGAATGCACTTTGAATAATAATTACGGGGTTTAAAATAGTTCGTTCTACGTGTCATCATTTTTCTTTTTAATTTAAGTTAATTAGAGCAAATCAAACCCTTAAAATTGTATTATAAATAATCTAGACTGGACTAGATTATGAGATCAATCTCTCTCGGCTCATGAGAGAAATCGGTTAGAGTGAATGTTTTAGGAAGATGGATCTTCAAAAAATTTATTAGATTTTACGAACTTCATTTTTTGCTTAGTAGGATTGTTTGGAATAACTATGACATTTGCGCTTTTAGAAGAGATTTTCAATGAGTACTAACAATGTTGTTTCTGATGGAAATAAGTAAGGGTATAGTTGAAATTTTTTAATTTATGTCAATTCTGAACTTACACCAAACATGATTTGAAAATTTAATTCAATTATTTATAAAGATTTGAATTTGACATTTCAAACATAGGAATTCATTAAGTAATGCGTTCTACACATAATTTATTTTAAAATAAAATGAATTTCTCAATTCATTTTATACCAAACGGTATGTTGGAATTTTTTTATGGCACTTTAAATAAAATTCATTTCCTTTTTTAAGTGACACTCTTCAATAAAAATGCATATTTCTGCCATAGTTATCTTTCAGTATGAAAAATAGTTAATTAATTGTTTAGCTATTTTATTTTATCAATTGAAAAATGATTTCATTTAGCATTAGGAGTTGTGAGACGATTCGATTAATTTTAGAATCGGATTAATAAGAGAGATACATACCCAATAATAAAGTAAAATCATTAGCATCACATAAAAATATCTTTAATCCAAGTCAATTTGGTCCATATTTTATTTTTATTTTTCACTCAATTCGATTGAGAAACTAAAAGAACTAGCTTTTAGTTGTTTTGACAATAAAACCACTCTCATGTCATCCATCCAGGGTTAATATTTTTCTTTCTTAAAATGAAAATTAAAAAAAAAAACCCGCTCTCTCACACTTTGTGATAACTGGCAATGTAATATTAACATTTTGCAATGACATTATCAACGTATGTGTAGCACTGGAGACCCTACTAGCCTCTTCACTGCATTTTATCTACCATGTAAAACATCCACGATCGTCCCTGTATCATTACAGCTTCTACAACCTTGTTCAGATCATTTCTTTTGTGGAACTTCTGCTTTGTTGTTGTTCGGAAGTATGTGCTGATATGTACAAGACGAATTTTCTTTTTGTCTAGGAGTGTGACTAGAGTTAAGGTTGGAAAACACTGACATTGGTTTGTGTCAGCTGAGATGGATTTCTGCAATATTTTCTTTTTCTTCATTACCTCCAGCATGCTGTTTTTTCTGTTGGGCTCTTAAGATTGGCATCATATGCAGATCAGCCACTTGGTTTTGTCCCATGGTGTATGAAAATTTATAGCTGAATCTTTTGGTGGTGACTACATTCGTATCATAAAGTATTTGATGGCTAGTTTGTTGCCGTTCCTGCCATGCTGCTGGCAAAGGCTCCGATCACTTTGAAGCTTGCAATGCCAGAGCTGTATTGATGAAGTAGTTACTGGGTTACGAACATTAGGACTAAAGATTTCCGCTAATCTGTTCTTCAGGTGTCTCTACTTCTTCTTCTTCAACAGCCCTAACAACTCCCAGCTCGACAACCACAACTGCCCCTACACAATTGGCTCTTGTGCCCTCCAGCAGTGGGTTCGTGCAGCTTGATGGACAACCTTTCTTTACCAGATCGAAGTGGCAAACGCGTGGTCGAGACTCAAGCTAGTTTGGAAAGAGAATTAGAGTTAATTGAGACTCATCAGCAAGAGGTATTTTCATCATTGATAGTCACATACTGCACTATTTTCAACATTGCGATGCAGATACATTCCATTCCGTTCGATTTTAGAACTGAAAGTTGAGCCATACTGGTACAAAGATATCAGACTGGAGGACTAAGTAATCACAATTGGCCGGTAATCTGCATTGTGGCGTTTGCCTTTGCAACAGTTTCCTTGATTTGAACTACAAGTTTCTACCAACAATGCGCCCCTTGTGCCCTTGCAACAACTACAATCAAGAGGGTGACAACAGCGAGCAGCAATGGCGACCCAATTCTCTGATCAGTGAGCAGCTGATCTGCCGAGTGTGGCGTCCCACCATCGTAGCTTCCCTTCCCCAAAGGGTGAGTCAGAACGTGCATTAGGCATTGCCATTTGTGGATGAGATCCGTAATCCTGGAAGCAATGTCCATTATCCACCTCACCAAATGCTGCGCCTCTTCCAACTCAGTTGCAGCTGCTTCCTTTTCGCAGCTTCGGAGCCTAAAGCTTTCAACTGCCATGCCACCCCCTTAATGAAATAAATTCCTCTGGCAAAAACACAGCAACAATTTTTTTTTTCTGGGTTTTTCCTTTTGCCAAGGGCGTAACTGAATCTACTTACCTGCAGCTTCGGGGCGGTGGTCTCGCAGTCTGTGAACCATTTCGTTCTTCTTAACAGCATCCCACACAGCCTTATCGGTTGCTAGAGCAGCCACCAGTTTCTGAGACACCCAACAAAAATGGTAAAATTACAACTTGAGAAAAAACGAAAATTTTGGTTGGGTGAATTGAACCCAGAAAAGAAGAACACAAAATAAGATGATGACCTGAATGGCTGGATCGGATTGCAGCAACTGGAAAGCTTCCTCAACTCTGGTGTGTCCATTAGATGATGCCCTCTGCTGTTTCAGTTGCGACATCTGAGTCATGAAACTGTTTTGACAAATTGTAGCGCGTTCTTGAGATTTTGAATCCGAAATTGAGCAGCCAAACATTTTTTTGCAGCATCGCAATAAGAGAGAGTAGAAAGATATATGGGAACAGTTGGGTTAGCTTGATTTTACTTACCCCTGAAGGGAGGCTATGGCGGATTCAACTTCTAGATGGGAAGGAACAGGTCCCAAGACAGCATCCATCGAAGGCCCAGAAGCAGGGGAGTTGTTGTCAGCTGATGGGTTGGGAAAGTCAACTCTCGAAGTGCTTCCTTGAACCAGAGGGAGGTTAGTGCTATGGCGAGGGTGACGATCCATGGCTCTCCTTCTTCTTCTTCTTCTTCTTCTTCCGCGAGGTTTCTGCTGCCTCACTCTCTCCGAGCTTCTTCAATCAAATCCAGTGGAGTTCAGTAGCGCTGCAGTTAACCATTTAGAAATGGGTAAAGTTACCATTAGCCAACCAGAATATAAACAGAAAGGGAATATGGACTATAGGTCGGGTTACCCAGAAGTTTGAAAACTTAGGGAAGAAGTAGAGAGAAAAGAAATGAAGAAATTGTGGGAAATTTGCTCATATTATACTAGTTTTTTACCGCGGTGTATTTTATTTGATTATTTATAATTTGTTATAATATTCTAGTTGTTGTTACTATATATGTTTGTTAAGGTAATATAAATGGAATTGTAAATTCCATTTACCTTATTTCAGATATTGTTTCATACCTTTATACCTTTTGTTTATTTATGAACATTTTAATTTTATTAACTGAGCTCTTTGTAGACTGTTCTTTATTGATTTAGAATTTCTTTTATCTAACTCGCCCTTTAAGATTATAAACATAAGAGTTATTCATTCTTTAGCACACAATTGTGATAAAGAAGTTAAAAATTTTACAGCCATAAAAGAAGAAGTTAGAATAAGAAAATATGCTTCAATTAATAAAAAAAATAAGCGAAGAGCTTTTTCCCCCTCTTTCTTCTCATATGTCGGTATATGATAATAGAGAATATTCTGATCTAAATCCCATGAATATCGTGTATTATCACTTACACATACAATTTTAGAATGCGGAAACTCATTAGCATCCACGTCCATCAATCTTCCATGTACTCGTTTAATTACTTTGAAATGTTCTAACAAAACCAACCACAAACAAAACTATCAGCTGTCACTAGCTTATTAAAGCAATATTTTCAGCAAATTAAACTGCATATACTTTACAACTCAACTCATTTTATCATGTAGATTCCTCATTTGTGAACTGAATATATGCATCAATCCAAATAGTAGTTTGTAAGAAAACAATCATGTCAAAATCAAGTTTTAGTTAGAGATTCAATGCGGAAAAATTCACCTTAATGAAACAAACAAATGTCACTGTAAACATGTAGAAATTATAAAAAAACATCGAAATAGACAACCGAGAAACCACCATTATCATTTCTTTCTTCTTCGCGACCTTTATAAAACCCTAATTATGTTCCCTTCTATTTATAACCTTTTTGCTACCTACTAATTACTAAAATACAGATCTGCTAGCTAGTAGCATGTCAATCATGAACATAAAATATAATAAACAACCATCACAACTCTGCTTTTCATTTCAACATTCAAGAAATCAGGTTGCAATAGACATTCAAGAAAAACGATCAATTATTCAACCAAAGGAGGTATGCCCTAAGTCCAACCAATTAACCCTTCTAATTATATTTTATATATTTAAATAAAAGTATATGACGACCCTTCTCCGTGAAAAACAAAGAAGAAATACATTCACTCATCGAGAGTGGGAAAATTTACCATCCAGCAGTCTTAATTTGGAAAAAAAAATAAGAAAAGAATGGGAAGAAGAGTATAACTTGGCCAGTCAACCGCAAACAATAACATATCGCTGAGAAAGTGAGACCAGTTACCAGCTTCAGATCAAGGAGGAAAAGGTAGCAGTCGACAACCCTCGGCTTGGTTCACCTCATCTTTACAACGATCATATGAACTTTTTTCGTTAACAGGCAAAAATATGTTACAACTGCTCAAAATTTGTCATCTCTTTATAGTTTGTTTAATTGAAAAAAAAAAGATTATTACTTATGTATGTGTTTGTTTGTTTAAATGTTTCCTATAAAATTAACTAATTTTAGTAAAAATGAATAGAATTATTAAAAGAAGAGAGAGATAGCTTCATAAATAGATCAATAAGTAGTTTTTTGTTTGTAAAAAAATTGTCCACCTTGGCAACTTGTGCATTCACCAAATGCTTATGTGGGAAGAAGTTATTTTTGAATAGCCATAATATTTAGTATAGATATAGAGATAGATAGATAGATACCGTAAAAATCAATAGCTAGCTAACAAATATGAAACGGTGCGTTGCAAGCCTCTGGCGTTTTGGCCTTCTTTCTCTGCATTCTGGCCTTAATCGAACTTCTTCATTTTTCCTTCGATATCACTTGTTGGGGTTAATTGCATAGGATGTCACTTAACTTCACTATTTGTAGCACGATAACCACCTAAGTAAGTTTTGTTGCAACTAAACCACTTATATTTAATTCCGGTAGCACTCTTACCATTTCCATCTCCATCGCTAACGGCATGTGCTAAAATGTAAATAACCATGCCAACTCAGCTACAAACTCTCCTATGGGCCACCAAATTCGATGGGCCCACTAAATCCAAAGTTTCCTTTTACGCAAGGGACACTTCTCGTTCTCGGAACCATTCTCCGGCAGCCGAACCGTCACCATCATTCCCTGCATAAAACAAAAACAATTGTCAAGGAGATTATACGAGCAAGACGACGATTGCGCGAAGAAGGAAGGAAAGCTTGCTGCAAAAAAACATCGGTATCTATTTCACCCTGTTGCTGCTCTACTCTGTTTCTTCATTCAATTAAGAAAGGAGTCGCGAAGAAGGAAGGAAAGCCGGTTATGGTTCCTCATCTACTTCTTTCCTTCTTATTGATAGGGATTTTAAAGGAGCAACGAAGATAGCTTGTTCATGAAATGATGGAGAAATAGGTGAGTGACTTCTGGTTTCTTTGAGCGCTCTGTTTTGGTGTTTGTTTTCCTTCTTTGTTGTTGGTTGATCAATGGGCGAAAATGTAGGGCACTCCACTTCAAGCACATGATCTCTTATTGTTTGAGTTTGAAGAGTCTGAAAGGAAGCGATAGAACAAGGATCCCTTTGACGAGAATGAATGAAGGAATAGCAACCAAGAAATTAAGGAAAAGAGCCTGAAATGGAAGTGCAATTATCTAGACATAGGACAAATGAAGCAGAAGAAGGAAAGAATTGAAAAAGAAGATTTTCTCTTGTTTGATAATAGGGGTTAGGGAAGGTTTGGGTGTGGAAAGGAAAGCAAGGAGGAAGGGGTCGATGGGTTTATTTGGGAGGAGGGATGAGTCCATTTATTGGACTTAAATGGGTTGAGGTAAATATGAGACAGGTGAGTCTGCAGCTGACGTGGCAGCTGAGTTGGCGTGGTTATTTATGTTTTAGCACCTGCTATTGGCGATGGAGACGGAAATGGTAACAGTGCTACCAGAATTAGATATAAGTGGTTTAGTTGCAACAATGCTTACTTAGGTGGTTATCGTGCAAAAAATGGTGAAGTTAAGTGGTATCCTGTGCAATTAACCCTCACGTGTGGCAACCGATCTTCCAAGAGCATGTTATGCACTATCATCTTCTTCAATCTTCATCATACATGCTCCTTTTCATTCTCCCACAAGATGACGAGTATAGATTGTATACACCGAGCTTTGGACAATAACATGGTAAAATGATCAATAGACAAACTCTTTGTGAATATGTTTGTCAGTTGAAGTTTTGTGAGTGTGTAACGCAATGTGATCAAACCTGATTGAACCCTTTCCTTTATGACGTGACAGTTGACTTCAATATCTTTGTCCTCTCGTGAAAAATTGGATTTTCTGCAATAAGAATTGCATACTTGTTGTCACAATAAATCATAACAGGTTGCTGATGATCTATACCAAAATATGAAAGTAAGGCACCCAGCCACTGTCCTTGACAACTCAAACTTGCCAATGCTCTATATTCTTGACTCGACTCTTACTACATATCCCAATCGATGGCCAAGTATAACAAAAAAAAAAGGGTGTAGCATAGGGTAAGCAAGTAATAAAATTTATCGTACCACAGGGATCTAGGCTTACCTTACTTGGGGTTTAGGGTTCGTTATCTAGCCACCCTAGAATAGTGATTAGGAAAACTAAACTAACTAACCTAGCTAACCACTAACCTAGCTAATTACAAGGGGTAGAGTTCTCTTAGCTTGAATCCCCCTAGTTCCATCATTTGGATCGATGTTGACTACTATCCTAACTTGATCGATTCACTACCCTACCTTTATGAGATCGACTCACTCGGGATTGGCCCGAAAAAGCAAAATGATGGATGGGAAGGTGCTCTAGTCAACCTAGTGATTCATATATTGTTAGGAGATCGATCAAATCAACTCCCTAGGGGATTACGTTGACGAAATATGATAGGAGTGATCCTAAGAGGCCAAAAGTGGGCTCTAAGTGGAATTTCTCCCTCTTAGGTGAAAAGCTCAATTGACATGTAGAACTCATGCAATTCATGAAAACATCCATCAAATAGATAATAAACTCAATCAAACATAGGATTTGTCACATACATCAACATTAAACCAAAATCTAAACCTAGGGTTCTTTAACCTAAGAGAAAGAGGTCTAGTTCATAGAGAAGAGAGAGATATTACAAAATAGCCCAAGATCTTCATCTTCTAGGCTTGATTCTTTTACTCAAAGATCAATTGAAGCCTCCAATTAAGCTCCAAGTTCTCTCAAGATCACTCTACCTCTCTCTAGAACTTCTCTTTGGTGCTTTGGATCGAAAACCTAGACGAAGAACCAAGTTCTCCTCCAAAAAATAGCTCTCTTCCTCTCTCCAAGCTACTGTCTTTATGTTTGCCCGACAGTGCCAACTTCACGGTCACTGTTCACAAGGGTTATAATAGCAAGCAAATGGCGATCTCGGCAAAAAATGCACCATTTTGGGATATTTTCATTGTCGCGGGGTGATTTTCACGATCACGAGACCGTGACAAATTTTAGGCCCGCGAGACGCACAATTGCTGCTAGAATTTGCAACCTTCACGATCTGGGGGTGATTTTCACCCCCTCAGGGCGTAACAAATGAGTGATGCCCATGAACATTGCACAACCTCCACTTTTTGGCTCGTTGTGACCTCCGAATGACCCGAAACTCATCCTAGACCTTTCCACATGTACAAGGACCTAAAATGTGACAAAAGAAGCACAACCTAGTGTAAAATAGGTCGAGGAATGACGATAACTGACACGCTACGACACAACATCAAACTGCGACCAAGTGTAATCGCATAATGGAAATGCAGAATAGTGGTAAGTTCAATTTATCAACCCGAGGACTAGATCTACTGCCAACTCTGTGAGTATCTACTATCTAGCAGGACTAAGTGTAATGAGAGTGATTGAAATGAAAAGCAGTAAGAAAGCAGGAAATTGATCGAAGTTCTTAAGCAAGGGAAGAGTCACTCGGGAATGAGTCCCCCTAGCTCCTTAGTTAGTTCAAAGTTGTAATTACCTTAGGTTGATTTACTGTTGATTAAACTGCGGAAGATCCGACAGTAGCTTGGAATCTCTTAAGCTGACCAAGCTCTCTCAGATAGACTACCCGACAGAGGACTAGTCTTCACCGGAATATACTGCCGAGGTAATAAACACCGAACTCCACTACTGGAATTGGATTCCAGTACAAAGCAATGAATCAATTAACTCTCGTATAACCAATTCACTACTACCGATTGATGAAGCTCTAACAACCTAATCAGATTCTATCTATCTCAGGTTGCAGCATAAATCAAGAAAAATTGATCAGGCTTCAATGGACTCAATGAATCATGCATCAATCGATTAAAATCAAGCAGTATAGCAATCCAAACGTCATTACAACAATGATCCTTAACACATGGAACTAGGGTTCTTCATACCCAAATGAGAGAGGGTTCTACTCCATAGAGAGAGAGGAAACAAAATACAAAGCAGTCATACTCATCATAATGGGAAGAATCTGCTCTGGGATGTCAATCTTCACTCCTGGGGATGCAATATGGGCTTCAATTGTGAGAAATCCACTCCAAATAGCTCCTAGGGTTTGTTCTTCGCACTTTCTCTCTCTAAGACTCTGTTTTTGCTCTGAAAAATTGTCTCCCCCAAAATATGAGCTCCTCTCCAATAAAACCCCCCACAGGTGCAAAACACGGCCTCTGACCCAAAAAACCCGGCCCTGTTTTTAATCAGAAGAGGCTGTGTTTCAAAATGACGATTCTATGAAGTGTAGAGAAAAACCCGGCCTCTGACACAAGGCCGTGTTTTTCACAACAGAGGCCGTGTTTGAGGGCGTGTTTTTCAGCAGCCCTGCTGCCCGGTTTTCACGAAACTTGTCCCAAGGCCATATTTACGTACTAGGACCTGAAATATGACAAAAGAACACAACCTAGCGTAGAATAGGCCAAGGAATGACCAATCACTAAGCTAAACGTCAAGAAATGAAGGAAAAAACATGTGCAAATACGGTGTTATCAATAACCACGTCAAACAATCAATATATGAGGGTGTAAAACATGTGTAATTATGCCCGAATCAATTCTGCTTCAGATGATGACCGTGAGATTGTACTTTGTTTCTTGCTTTCCAACTCAACAACCCTGTACCAAGGTAGGTATAGTATCTAGTGATATATTTTTAGTAATCACAGTGACCAATCTTGCATTTACCCATAAATAAGGTCATTGTTATTCGTCGCTCTAATTTTTATAAAAAATGACTCAAATATCCTTAGTTAGTTTTTGTCTCGGCTCTATTTCCTATTGTTCAGACGATTTTCCCAATTGACGTGTCCCCAACTTGCCAGAAACCCATCCCCAACTTGTCGGACAAGTCAAAAACCCGAATATCCTTAGTTTAGTAAATTACGACTGATCTAACCCATAATTTCTTTTTTTTTGTTTGAAATTCCTAACCCAGAATTTCAACGAACAATTAGAATGAGGAAAGGGAAAGTGTGGAAACCATAGAAAAATCTTGGGACTTGACTTGTTTAATTTGGCAAGGACTCGAACTTTTGGCCGCCGGCGGGAAACTGGAAATCAGTCTTTGTTCATTGCTCTGGTCTCCGAAGAAGGGTTCAAGGATGATTGGGTATAAGCTGTAAGCTGCTAATGGCTGCCTCTTTTCAAACGGGGAATAAATGGAGGATTGATTAATTAACTTAAAAAAATTACGGGTGATGTTTGTTAGAAATTGGGGCTGAGGGTAAAGGGGTCAATTAGGAGTATTTTAGGGCGACGAATAGCGATTCAGATAAAAATGAGTGTAAGTTGTAACGAGTAAAAAGTAAGCAACACAATGCGCTGACACAAACAACCCGCCCAAACCGTAACCCGCTGAACCCCCAACTGACCCTTAACCCGAGTAACCCATCAACCCGACAAACCCGAAACCTGACTAACCCATAATCCAACAAACCCAAAACCTGACTAACCCATAATCCAACAAACCCAAAACCTGACAAACCCATAACCCGATTGAACCCAATCCAAACCCGCCGATTGACCCCAGCGAAAGTGACATGGTTATGAAACTGTTGCTTTAAAGCATCAAGTTGACTCACACTTGATAAATCTGGTCATTCTATTTAGGCCGTCCGCCTCCTTCGGCGTTTCTAAGTATCATCCTAACTAGACGGGCACTTCCAAATACAATGACTAACTGGCCTAAGCACCCAAAATCCTGAGTGACATAAGACTTTTTGCCCGATCTGACTAACACACCAGTTTGCAAAATATTAAACACGAAATCATGCTGCTGCTGGAGTTCGCTATGTAAATGCTTCCCGCTGTTGTATTGGCAGTTCTAGATCACGTTCTCCATCTAACAAAGAAAAATACTGATCCACCATGCCTTCTGTCACCAGCCCTAACCTCGGAGGATTCCACTGCACAAACACAAGAGTTACTCACGCCATATGATTTCATTTCATGCTACCAAAATGCAAATCCCAACTCGGAGTGAAAGAAAGCTCGCACCTTTGGTGCCAAGTCTTTATCAACAAGCCGTGCACGGACACCCTGATGCAGGAAAATTAATACGAGGCAAGACTATTTAGAACTCGATTTGTCCAATTTCCACAGGAAATCTAGAAACAAACACGTACCTCACGCAAGTCCTGCTGGGCCATACCCTGTAGAGACATTCTATATTCACGGACTAAGCACTGATCAAGCGTTTGAAGTCTACCGTCCCTTATCTGAAACAGTAGATATGGCGGCTGAGATCATGCTATTACTATGTTACTAAGTCGAGTGTCTAACATTACTAGCTGCTATTAGGACTCACTGATCTCAAGGAAACCTTCAAACTCAGTGGGGAGCATTCATTTAGCCTTCTAAGAGTAGAGTTGCACCATGGATCATTTGTCTTTGAAGCCTCAGTTTCCTGACAGTGATTCAATACGTAGAATAGAGAAAATATTCATAGATTAAGCAATTTTTTTAAATTATGATAAAGAATGAAGCGATTAGACATGTCATTCTACCAAAGCGTCTATGATTTCTTCAACTGTGTCATGACTGAAACATTTGTCAACAGCTTCAATCCTGAAGAAAAACAAAAAGAAGAGCCAAAATGAAAATTGATAAATTCTGTCCTGTTTTACATAATTTATGGGGAAATTATTTGCAATCCATGCCATGTTTGAACTGAAAAAGAGTTCTGTGGATCACTACCAATTACAATGAACAAACCTGTGAATTACACTTGTGCTATCTGGATGGACGAGGTCACCATACTCTTCTAATGAAGTTTCAATGACAGAAGGATCATCAGTGATCAGATTCCCCAACCGCTCCTCAACTGACCGAAACTTCTGATAGATTAAGATAAAACAGTGATTTAAGCAAGAAGAAGAGAAAGCAGTGTGAAAGAAGAGAACATGTTAACAAAAATTAACTGTACTGTGAGTGTAGTGTGTAGCCAAGCCACAACCGATCATTTCAACTCCATTTAGTGTCTCCCCAGTAAGAGCCAGATATTCCCCTGTAAGCAGGAACGTATTTACGCCTTTTGAAGATGGAAATGAATGGTTCTTCTGTGTCTAAGGTGACTAGAAGGACCAGAAAACGAATCAGAGAACTGACGCAAACTGTAAACTACCTAAATGACCAGGTAAATGTGAAAGGTAGAAGGATGCACCAGCATCAGGGTGGAAACCAAGAAGGGTTTCAGGAGTAGCAAAAATCTGCAGATCAGCACGGCATATCTGGTTATTTTCTCCTTTGTTATTGACAAAGTACACAGACCATGATGCACCAGATCACCATGAGATCACTTGGAAAGGAAAAGCTTCAATGACTCAAAAGAGCATTGGAAATTAAAAATTCATAAGGTACTACTACTATCTGCATACAGTTCTTTCAGTTGCCAAACGAAATGTGCTAGGAATTGAAACTCCAGCACCACCACCCATGGTAACGCCATTCAGAAGGGCTACCTATAAGAAGTATCTTCAGAGCATCACCATCATTATAAAGATTCTATCCCAAAGTAGCCCAACCTAAATCAACGAAGTTTTCAAAAGATATACTCACCTGTGGCTTCAAATATGTACCTAGAAGGTAAATGAACTGGTATAATGTGGCGAAAAAGTCTTTACAAGCCTCCCGCTTCCCTGGGACATGAGGGTTAGGAATTTCAAGGGGAAGCAAGTATGCTGATAAAAACACCAACAAGCTTTCGTGTATGTCGATACCGAATCTGAAAGGCAATACGGCAAGTCTTATTGTTTACCCTGATTCAGAAGATGATAAACAGCAACCATATCCCCACCAGCACAAAATGCCCTGCCACTGCCCTTCAGTGTACATATACCACCATAGCCAAGAGCAAAACGCTTCTCAATCAGCCTTCCATGTCTTCAAAATGGCGCTGGGAGCAAATAAAACTTGGGAGAGAAGTGGTTACCTTCATCGCCACAAATCCAATATCCGGATCATCTTCCCAGGACGTGTACAAATTGTTCAATCTAGATCCCTAACCAAAATCCCCAAGATTCATTTCCCCTCATTAACCAATTCGGAGCGGAAGTGTTTTAGCAAACAACATAACGGGAGGGAACGAGAAAACACAGAATAGCAGAGAATCGAAAGAGTCACCATGTTCAAGTTGAGGGCATTGAGAACCGAAGGCCGGTTGAGAATGGCGGTCCTGAATTGCGCTTTGCCTTCCACCAGCACCTGTCGAGTAAATCACCCTCACCAAATAACAGTTAGTCGGTCGACGGAGAAATATGAATTCAAACGAAGTCAGAGAAGCTAGGGACAAGTTCTCGAAACCTGGCTTTGAAGATCATCGTCGTCGATAGGCTTACTGATACTACTCGCGAGAGAGCAGATGCCTCTGAAACTATCATGGTAGCGAGCAGGGGCGAAGCTACGGCCCTCCGCTTCGACGAGCCTGGCCAGCAAGCCGGCCGCCACCTTCAAGCCTTTCATTGGTGCGGAGGAGCGGCCTGATTTAGTGATTTTGGACCGCACGATAGACCGAGTAGGCACCCCTCGATGAGCCTTTCTCTATCAATTTGACTGCTTATAGAGTGGCATGCAAAAGCCTTTCTCTATCTTTTTTAACTAGCACCGGGCCCGGCCCCTTGGCCGGGAAAGTCTAGACAAAAAATATGTTCATATAACATGCTTACAATATAATAGGAAGATACGACATATCATTGAAAAAAGAAATATAATTGTTCAAAGAAGAAAAGAAAAACATACAAAATAATAGGTTTTCAATACTTAAAAATGGCAAATAGTTCAAGATTAGAGTTGTTTTTCCTAAAACATACATAATGAACCCTCAGAAGGAAAGAAAAAGATTGGTCTCTAACAGATTTTAGGAATGAGATCATTTGTAACCCTAATTAATGTCTAACAGATACACCCATATTATTCCTCTTCATAGAAAGTAGAATAAGGATCAGCTGGTTTGGAAGCATGCTAGTCGTAGTCCCCGAAGATGCCTAGAAAATAGTCCGGGTTCTCAAGAGAGCTTCAAACTTAAGGCTGAGTGCAACTAATTTTGAATTACATATGTTTGTCTTTGTCAGTGTTGCTGATACTTTCACTGACTACTTTGATTGGTAAGTTGACCATAAATAATAGGGATATACCTTATTTTGACCTTGAAGTTTGTCGTAAAAGCCAAACTTGACATGAACTTGCAAATAAGACAGTTTTTCAAAATTTTGAAAGAAATGGACAAATTTGGACTGAAATTTATGTTGTTCGTTAATATTAAAAGTTAAAAATTTCTTCATCCATTCAACATACAATGCTCAGGTGGTTGCGATTGCGATGTGGCTTCCATGTCATAGGGATGATACCTTATTTTGGCATGAACTTGATGTAAAAGACAATTTTGGCTCGAATTTTCAAATAAGATAGGTTTGTTTGCACTTTGAAAGAAATGAACAAATTTGGTCCGAAATTTGGGTTGACCTTTAATATTGACAGTTGTGATAGAGAGGTTTCGGTTGCGATGTGGCTTCCAAGTCATTTATTTATAAAGTCTAAAAAAGTGAATTTTTCAGAAGAAAAAAAGACCACAAAATAGGACCCTTAGTATATCCTAATATTTTCATATTTACTTGCATAAATCATATTAAAAGGAAAAAGAAATTGATTCAGGCCCCCAAAAATCCCAAAGCACGAAGCTATCTCTCTTTGTACCCCTCTCATCAATATTAACGGCAACCTAAATTTTGGGTCAAAGTTATTCATTTCTTTGAAAATTCGTACAAAACTGTCTTATTTGAAAGTGTAGGGCAAAATAGCATATTATACCTATGACGTGAAAGTCACACCACAGTCACCTTAACATTGTATGTTGAGTCATAAAAAAAAGAAATGTTTGACCCTCAATATTAATAACCGACCAAATTTGTTAATTTCTTTCAAATTCGGACAAAACTATCTTATTTGAATGTTCATGCCAAAATTGTTATTTACATCAAAGTTCAACACAAAATAGGATATTATCCCTAAATAATATAGGAGTACTAAAAATATTGGACTAATGAAGTTCAAAATGTTTCAAACAACATACAACCCTGATAAAACTGCAGTCCAACCAACTAACATTTAGAACAAATGACTTTCCAGCAGGATAACACAACTATAAGTATGAGTGGTTCTATCATATTTTGATTAAGAAAATGACATAAGGAAATGATATATAGACCTTGAATGATATACTCTGAGTATGAAAATGATGTCTAGTGGCCGGAGCTAGGGACATGGTACTATACCTTAAGCCCTTACAGATTAAAATCTAGGTCTTAATTCTATGAAGCTCATATACTAAGATCAATTTTATTAGAAACAATAATCGAAGGTCGTGTTTCATCAAAATACATCAAAAAAATTATGTGCATAATCTTAGTGTTTAGGGCAAGGATTGAAAACCCTTAACGTACCGGGGGTTCGACTAAACCAGTAGGCACTATGTAGTGTTGTGAAACGACTGAATCACGGTTAACCACAGTTTTCGCATAAAATACCCTCCTGCCGACTTTTTCGGTACAACCTCTGATGAGGTTTTATAATCCTTGGTTTAGGATCTATGATTTAAATAGTTAAGATCTAGAGTTCACTCGTCAAGGGTTAGAATATAGTGTCTCGTCTCGAAATCAGGTTAATTCAAAGTCTAGATTGCCATTTCTTACCAAGGGTATGAGTTACCTTTTGATTTTACTCAAAATATGATAGAAAACACTACACACACATACTGGTATACTACAGGAGTATAGTATACTGGTATACTCCAAGAGTATAGTATACTTCACATGATCTAGACATTAGATGTACTTTGTTGAGCTCCAATCAATCTCAATGGTCAATTATAATTTTCCATTAAATTAAACTTTGGGTTTGAGTTTAGAGAATCGGGGCCTGTGGTTTATCCATTAGAGGTTAGGGTAGAGTATCATACCCCAAACTCGGTTAAAAATCATGGTCTAGATAGAGATATCTCACGAAGAGTACCTGAAGTATAATATACTCCAGGAGTACACCAGTCTGACCCATATATATGTGGTTGTGTGTGCACATATATATTTAATATTGTAATTTGATATGCAATATTCGAATAAATGATATTTGGATTGCGGTTTTAAGATTATCCTCCATTTATAAGATAGATTACCATTATTATTGAAGTCAAAATAAAATAATAATAAATGATAATCAAAGATCCAACACTAAAAATGCTTAAGAAAGACTTAGTGGGGTAGCTAACTGTGCTGGAAAAGTCATTTGATTTTCAGAATTTTGCCTCTTGTATGTTTTTTTTATAAATAAATGCAACAAATTTGTTTAGTCTTATTGGTTATGACTCTTGTCCTTGTTAGAAGAGACCCGGGTTCAAATCTTGACACTGATATTTTTTTCAAATAAAAAAATAAACAATTGCAATGACGAAAGTACCCTTCCTACTTTCACTCTCGTTGCAGAAAATTTGAAATGGAAGAAAGTTGAGTCATGAATCTCCATCATATATCTTATAGAAGTTGAAATCATTTGATTTTTCCTTTGGCTAATATTATATTTGGGCTGGTTGGGTTCTTGTAGGGGTAAGGTGTTTCTTTGGATGGTTGTTTCTTTCTTGATATCACTTGGTTAAAAAAAAGTTGTCAAATCGGTTTATATCGTTACGTCTGTTTAGCAAAGTGATATGGTTTTACTGGTAGTACAATCGGTTTGTAGCAGTCCATTCCAGTTTAATAAAATATGAAAAATCATTAACAACGAAAAAAGTTAAGCATATATAAATCATATTTGAAGACAATTCACTTACGATCTATATTCATACTTAAATATAATATATCAATAAGTACTCACATTTAAATACAACATGTAATGTCTACATTAATCAAGACGAAGGTGGGGAAGATAGTGGTTCAATTTCAGGATGATGTTCAATTTTTTTGGCCTCAAGGTGTTTTTCAAATAGTGGCAATGCGAGATTGGGTCTTTTCGAAAGCCAGTGTTAAGAAGAGTGGATACTGCACGATTCATGTGGGAAGAGGGAGGAATCGACGATGTCATTTTCTTCAAATCTATGAACTGAGAAGAAAAGGCAAAATCTTCAAGATGTTGATCCCCCTTCTGAACTCTACCGCTTGTTGGGCACTGACTTTGCTTTTAAAAGATTTCATTAAGTTAGAAAGGGTTGCTAGAAGCGACCAGAGTTGTTCTCCTCTTTGGAGCCTCCCCGTTCTTTGTTTGTCGCTAAAGATCAATCCTTTGCCGATGTTCTTAGATATCATAGGCTCTATGGCGCTGGTCGATGTTCCATCAATTGGGCAGAGTGTGAGAAATTAATCAAAGTGGGAGACAAGGGAGTCAATGAATTTCTAGACCTCCTGGGAAGAAGTCTAGTTCTCGAATTCTCTTCATCGATCTCGAGCTCTTTCACGTCCAACTTGGTTCCAGATTTAGGAAATGGGTGAAAAAATTCTAGGTAATTGACGACAATTATGACTTCAAGCATCTCTCTTATGAAAAATGACTTCTCATTTGCCCGAGAGTCGTCGATGCTCTTCGGATTGAGCTTATAGACCATGCAAAGTTTCAAAATTTCTCTATCTCTATCTCGGTATGGGAAGCAAATTCTTGTCTCTCCAGGTCTGCTTCTCCTTGTGACCTTTGTATCTTTGTTTTCAGAATCCCTTTTCACTTAAAAAGTGTTGGCATTCTCAAAGCTCGGTGTATTTTGCATTTTTGCTACACATAAACGAACAAATGTTCGAATTTGTCAAACTTTGGAGGATCATAATTTTGTGCTCCGCAATCCAAATGTCGCAAAGTTTTTTTTATTTTGCATAATTGTTTGAGTACTACAACATTTACTAGGAATAAATTTTCAAAATAGGAATATTTTTTAATATAAGGGGTTTTGGGAGTAACTTTAACTTTAATTTTCACATTTCCACATATATTCTGAAAATGTTTCTATTATAAAAGTTGTAGTCCTTGAAAAGTTATGCGAAATGAATTTTTTTTTGCTACGATCGGATAACCGAGCACAAAGTTAAGGTTGTTGGAAATTTCAAAGGAGTGGTTCGAGTTCAGTGAACTCGAACCACTTCAGCCCCACATGGTTCGAGGCCTATATCATTGATCTACGACTAGATCGAGTCTCCTACACTCGAACCACTCCAAACTTAGGTATTTTGGGAAAATTTTTTATAAGTGTGGTAGTTTAGGAATTTCTTTTACTTTTATGTGTATTTAGGGAATTAATCCGGTTCTTGTAGGGGGTGAGGTGTTTCTTTGGATTGTTGTTTCTTTCTTGATCTCTCTCGGATAAAAAAAAAGGTTTTCAAATCGGTTTATATCGTTGCACCTGTTTAGCAAAGTGATATGGTTCTACTGGTAGTACAATTGGTTTGTATCAGTCCATTCCAGTTTAATAAAATATGAAAAACCATTAACAACGAATGAAGTTAAGCATATATAAATCATATTTGAAGACAATTCACTTACAATCTATATTCATACTTAAATATAATATATCAATAAGTACTCACATTTAA